TACCAAAAAAAAAAAAAAATAATAATAATAATAATAATAGAAGAAAAAAGCATATAAAAAGCTGGATGTGGTGGCTTTTGCCTGTAATCCCAGCACTTTGGGAGGCTGAGGCAGGAGAATCGCTTGAACCCGGGAGGCGGAGGATGTGGTGAGCCTAGATTGAGCCACTGCACTCCAGCCTGGGCAAAAAGAGCAAAACTCCATCTCAAAACAGGGAGAGTTCTGGGGACTCACGGAGCCCCCATGTTCCAGGCCCCACACTGAGGGACTAACATTATTCTCATGGGCCATTGACCATTAGCATGAGCTGTTCCCACATCTGTATTAGCCCTGCTCCCGGATGAGGCTGCAGCACTAATTCCATTGTGTTTCCTGGTAGCTCAGAAAGAACAAATTTTCTAGTTAATCACTGGCTGTAAAATCATCCTACCCTGACTTTCATGAAAAACCATGAAAAAGGCTGTACTGGAAAAGTGGGATTCTGCTGGTTTGTTTCCGCAGGTCTCTGAAAAGATCTTTTTAAGCTTGCAAAAGTTCAAAGAGAACCCTCTTCCCCAATTTTCAAATCAGACGGAGTGCCAGATTGAGGTGTTGTATTTCTCTTGGGGTTTCATACACTCCTGGCACGTAACTACAAGGGGCCCAGGTCCTGTAGTCTGGGAAACATCGTGAAAGGAGAAGAGGCTGGAGAAATAGATCACTAAGGTGTGGTCACAGAACGTCGGTTCCCGAGCTCACAGCATGGGAGGACAGTCTGGGCTGTTGAAGTCGGTGTGGATTGATAGCTCTTCCAGCGCCTTGTCTATGTGTCAACAGATAAAAACGAGTGCCAGTTTGGAGCCACCGTTGTCTGTGGGAACCACACATCTTGCCACAACACCCCCGGGGGCTTCTATTGCATTTGCCTGGAAGGATATCGAGCCACAAACAACAACAAGACATTCATTCCCAACGATGGCACCTTTTGTACAGGTACTCAAAAGGGGGCTGCAGTGTTGGCAATTGGTGATGGCAGGATAGTATCTGGACTGTGTATTTGTTAATATTAGGGAATTAATGTGAATTTTGTTAGATGGGATAATGGTATTGGGCATAAAGAATAATATTCTTATTCTGGGAGATGCATGCTGAGATATCTTGAGGTGTTATGATGATGTATCTGTAACAGTATTCCTTTAGTGTGTAAGCTACTGTAAATGGCAAAATGTAAACAATGATTGAATCTTGGGGGGATGTGGGTCTAGGGGAGTTCATAGTAATAGTCTTTTTTTTTTTTCCATTGTAATGTTCTTTTTACAGGTCTGTGTGTTTGAACTTTTTTTTTTTTAGACAGGGTCTCACTCTGTCGCCCAGGCTGGATGCAGTGGTGCAATCTCGGCTCACTGCAACCTCCGTCTCCTAGGTTCAAGCTATTCTCCTGTCTCAGCTTCCCCACTAGCTGAGATTACAGGCACGTACCACTACACCCAGCTAATTTTTGTATTTTTAGTAGAGATGGGATTTTGCCCTGTTGGCCAGGCTGGTCTTGAAACTCCTGGCCTCAAGTGATCTGCCTGCCTCAGCCTCCCAAAGTGCTGGGATTATAGGCATGAGCCACCACTCCTGGCCTGATCATTCTGATAATGAACAGTAAAGAGGGACTCTCTGGAGATGGTATGCCTCCTGTAGCTTCCTGTAACTGCAGGTGGGGGATTCTTTGGGTGAGTGGCACTCCCCAGCTCTGAGCATACTAACCTAGGGGCTGGCACTGGGCTGTTGGCTCACAGGAGGTCAGAGTTGTCTCTGTTAGAGGTGTGGGCTTGCCTCCCACATGTGTGCACTGAGTGAGGAGTGCAACTTTTTGGAACACAGTAACTCTGTAGGTTAGATCTCTGAGCACAGGCTGGTTCAATACAGGGTGAGAACAAACCCTTCAATTTTTTTTTTTTTTTTTTTGAGACAGAGTCTTGCTCTGTCGCCAGGCTGGAGTGCAGTGACGCAATCTCGGTTCACTGCAAACTCCGCCTCCCAGGTTCAAGCGATTCTCTTGCCTCAGCTTCCTAATTAGCTGGGACTACAAGCACGCGCCACCATGTCTACCTAATTTTTTTGTATGTTTTAGTAGAGATGGGGTTTCACCATGTGAGCCAGATGGTCTCAATCTCCTGACCTCATGATCCACCCGCCTTAGCCTCTCAAAGTGCTGGGATTACAGGCATGAGCCAACACGCCCAGCCAACCCTCCTAATTTTTAGCGGCTCCTCTGTTATCTGAACTCTATTTACAGCATGCCACAGTAATGTTGCTATCTGGCTTTCTAGGAAAATCTTTGAACAATAATGAAGAGGAAAGGCAGAAAACACCTCCTGTTTTTGCATAGGAGATGCTCTAAGATGCTTTTGCGTAGACTTAATGACTCTGCTTAAAAGCTTTGTGAAGGTTTTTAGGGAAAAGAAAAAGAAAGGGAATATGTTTTACCTTCTTAGCTACCAGGAACCACAGGTTCTTATGCTCGGATTCGTCCTCCCTCTTGACCTGTACCAAGGCAGAATCTCTCAAAGAATACATTTAATTTATTCTAGGCATGAATGAACATATTCCTTCAGAGAAAACATTTTATAATATCCTGTTATTTTAGGTAGCAAATTATTGGCTGCATGGTTGCAGAAGTACAATGTTGCAGTATTAAGTTTGGTATATTAAGAAGAAAAGACACTCAGAAAAAAATAGCATACAAGATGATGATCTAGTCTTCTGTTTATTCAGTACACATTTCTCATGTACTTTTTCCTTTTTTTTTTTTTTTTCTTAAAATGGAGTCTGGCTCTGTCTCCCAGGCTGGAGTGCAGTGGCATGATCTCGACTCACTGCAACCTCTGCCTCCTGCATTCAAGCAATTCTCCTGCCTCAACCTCCTGAGTAGCTGGGATTACAGGCACCTGCCACCATGCCCGGCTAATTTGTATTTGAGTAGAGATAGGCTTTCATCTGTTGGTTGGGTTTGTCTCGAACTCCTGACCTCAGCTGATCCACCTGCCTTGGCCTCCAAAAGTGCTGGGATTACAGGCGTGAGCCACTGCGCCCGGCCTCTCATGCACTTCTTATGTGCCAAGGCTGTGCTAGGAGGAGGTGATGAGCAGACAGCTAATTTCAGTATAAAGTGTTAGTCATAGGTAAGCAAATGGCATTTACTGAAATCCAGGGGTAACTTATCTTGGCAGTGAGGAAGGACTTGGGAACTTTCTGGAGAATATGATCTCTGAAATGGTGTTTCCTAGGCTGTGGGAGTTTGCCAGGAAAAACTTAACAACTGTATATTTATCAGTATATTTATAGTTCCAAGAGATGAATTCAACTTTTAAAAGTTATGAAGAAAGCTGGGCGCAGTGACTCATGTTTGTAATTGCAGGACTTTGGGAGGCCAGGGCTGGAGGATCACTTCAGGCCAGGAGTTTGAGACCAGCTTGGGCAACATAGTGAGACTTGATCTTTTAAAAAAATAAGAAAATTAGCTGGATGTGGTAGTATGTGCCTGTTGTCCTAGCTACTTGGAAATCTGAGGTGGGAGGATCGCTTGAGCCCAGGACTTTGAGGCTGCCGTGAGCCAAGGTTGTGCCATTACACTTCAGTCTGGGTGACAGAGTGAGACTTTGTCTTAAATTTTATTTTTTAAGTTAGGAAGAAGAATGAGGAGGAAGAGGTGGAGGGAGGAGATTGGTGGGAACAGGAGGAAGGAAGAAGGGGAGAAGAGGAAAGAGAAGAAAATACTTTATGCAAGGGCCAAATAAGTATCAGCCAAACTACAACCAATCTTCCTGGAACAAAATCCAGATGTAGACTTTACTTTTGTTTATTCTATTCTTGCAATTATTTAATGACCTTCTCTTTTTTAAAAAATTGAGCTATAGTTTACATACCATCAAATTCACCCTTTTGATGTATACAACTCAGTGGTTTTCAGTATATTCACAAAGTTGTGCTAGCATCACCACTGGCTCTTTTAGAGCAGTTCAATCTCCCACCATGAAGACCATGTCCACTGGCAGCCATTCCCATGACCTTTCCTTGTGAGTTCTCCAGCTATCACTTTGTAAAAGCTGATGAACTGCTTTTCTTGATAAGACCGTTTCTTTCAGAATCACAGTTGCCAGAGAAATGTCAGTGGGCTTTAGCCAGGGCAAAGGTTAGCAAGTTTCGGGGAATCAGCAGTTGGTCACTGTTTGCCTGGAACCATAGGATGTGATTCCTAGTTCCTGTATTCCAAGGAATCCTGCATCCAGGTGTTTATTGTACTTTGCAGAGTCGACATCAAGCTCAGGAGCTGGTTGCAGGTAGGCCTCTGGATGTCACCAACATTAGATAGAGGAGGAATGAATTGGTGGGATTCTAGTGTGAGATGATTCCAGCCAGTCTTGGAGAACTGGCAGATGTTCTGACCCTTAGAACCATCCTCTAAATGACTCCTGGGAATCATGGAAACCTCCGTGAGCCACAACCCAGAAGACGAAGCTCAGTGGCACTTCTTCCTGTGTGAGGGTGGTTTGACTTGGATGGGCTCCTTCAGCAATTGAATAGAATTACCAGTTCCCAAACAATGGTGTGAGTGGAGAGGTGTTCATTGATCCAAGACCAAAAAAGGAAGGAGAATAAAGAATATAAAAAGTTCAAAATGATTCTGAGACTATTTCTTTTCTCTTTTGGGGGCTAAGATGTCCTTCTTTTTTTTTTTTTTTTTTTTTTTGAGACAGAGTCT